TCTTCACTTCCGTCTCTGATAATATGATAGGAAATGCGCGCATTGTCATTCTCATCACGATCAGAGGCTTTAACAGCAAACACTGAAGCCCCTGGACTGTTCCCCTCAGTAACATAGAAAGTATATGGGCTGAGTGAAAACTCTGGACTGTTGTCATTCACATCTGACACCGTAACGCTTATTGTCTTTTCAGATGATAACTGTGGCTGACCTGCGTCTTTTGCCGTTATTGTCAACTCGTATTGTGACTGTTTCTCTCTGTCCAGAGGAGATTTGGTCACTAATGAAAACATTTTGTCCTGTAAAGATGGTGACAATGCAAACGGAACATCGTCACCTAAGGAACAAATGACTTTTCCATTGACTCCAGAGTCCAAATCATTTACACTGATAAGAGCTACTGTAGTTCCAGGTCTGGAATCTTCTGGTATTGAGCTTGAAAATGATGTTACCTCAATCTCAGGTGCGTTATCATTTACATCAACAATCTTAATAATTACACTCTTTTCTGTAGTTAGAGGAGCCAAACCTCTATCTGACGCCTGAATTTCAATCTCATATTTATCCTTTTGCTCATAATCTAGCAGACCTTTTACAGTTATCTTTCCTGTTGACTGGTCAATATCAAAAAGGTTAAACACATTATTACTCACACTGTTGCCAAATGAGTAAACTACCTCTCCGTTCTGACTGTGATCTGGATCAGTTGCATTCACTTGTATGACTTCTGTACCTACAGGAGCATTTTCATTGAGCTTAACCGAATAAAGATCTTTTGAGAAAATGGGCGTGTTATCATTCACATCCAAAACATTTACCAAAATGTTCATGTCTCCAGATTTTGGTGGCTTCCCCCCATCTAGTGCCGTTAGCACCAATGAGTGACTGTGCGCTGCTTCCCTATCTAGTGCTTTTTGTAAAACCAGTATAGGTATTTTACCATCATCTCCTTTATCCCTCACTTCCAAACGGAAGTGGTCGTTGTGGTTAAGTTTATACTGCTGCACAGAAAACTGACCACTGTCTAGATCCCGTGAAGGTTTTAACTGAAATCTTGCTCCGGGTAGAACGGATTCTGAAATCTCCAGTATTTTATTTTCCTCTGGAAAAACTGGAGCATGGTCATTTATATCTAGCACATCTACTCCTACGTAATGGACCTCCAGTGGATTTTCTAGCACGGTTTTAACATTTATAACACACGTACTGCTCTTCGCGCACACCTCTTCTCTGTCGATCTTTCGGCTCACATACAGGATACCATCGTTCTGATTTACGTGGAAAAGGGGTTCAGCACCGCTAGAAACAATCCTGTACTTCCTTGTTTTCAGTGTGCTTTTATCTAATCCTAGATCTTTTGCGATGTTTCCAACAACCGTTCCCTCGTTAGTTTCCTCTGAGATTGAATACCTTAATTGTGCCGACGCCAAGCTGCACAAAAACAGGACAACAATGCAGATGACATCGCGTCGTCTCCCCATTCCTTTCTCATGTCCTCTTTGTTCCATGGTTACACCCGAAAGCATCAGTGTCACTTATAAGAGCAATCCAGCACTGCAGCGATCCAATACAAATCGTCCATGAGTAAAGAACAATCACCCTTTTCCTAAAACAAGCATAAGCACGAACGCGTATTCCCAAGCTCAGAAACGACTGCTTTAATATCCAAACCGGGACGCTATCAAGAGGCTCAATCAAAATGCAACGATAGAAAACACATTTAATGCTGCCTCTTTTCACTATACTGACACCTTGTGAGCAAAACAATCACTACAGAAAATCAGAACTATGTGAAACTTAAATCGAAAGATCAAACTCATGTGTTATTCTTATTTTGAAGTTTTCGACATAAATTGAGGGGTATTTGTAAATAAATTATAAGGTAGTGCACTCTTGAAAAAACGCTCAAAGAAAAAAAGTATCTGAAAGTGTGGAGAAGATTCCCTCTAAATGACCAGTAAATTAAATTACTTCATGTCATTAAAATTTGATTTATATATCATATCAGTTACAGCTAATAGAGCTCTGTTGGGACTGTTTACTGTGAAGTGAGCATAAACATGGTCAGGACCATGGACAGCACATGCAATAAACTTCAAGAATTTCTAGCTACATTTTGTGGCAATATTACATTTCCTACACAAGTCACCAGAGGAATTTTAACTTTTTGTAGTCTATTGCTACAGTACATTCAGTCAGTTTTGTTTGCAGACTGATCTTATCTGCCACTACCAGAGAAAATATGGTCATCTTGCGTTATGAAAGATAATGTTCAAGAAAAAGGACATGAAGGTGGCAAGACAGCTTGAAAAGACAGACAATGACGTTTCGTATATTTGTTCTTGTCCAGTTCAAGCAACTGAGACCTACTAACCTCCTAATCATAAAGGAAAATGTAATGACCAACACACAAAGTTTGCCAAGGTAAACAAATGAGTACCCCTTTTTCTAAAAGTATGCTAAGGCCATAGAAAAGTATATACCATAGAGTATGCTTGGTCAAAGAAATAAACAGTATTGTGCATAATGTTAAAAGTTCTACTTAAAAGCAGCAAATCCATGTCATGCCAAATCATCAAAAGAATTCTTAGTTTTACCATGATCACAATCTCGTCATCATTTTGACTAAAAAGTTATCCAACTCAGT